GTCTCAACGTAATGAGTAAATGAGATAAAATGTATGAAAGTTCGGGCACAGGGCTGAGCATACAGTTAACACAAGCTGGCTATAGCAACGACACCACCACCACCCACAAAGAGTCTTGTTGTCCAGTTTCCAGAAGCTTCACAAAAAAGAGAGATGTCCAAAGGTAGGGGACAGAGAACAGCATTGCCATCTCCATATTGCTATTTTGGCAGGTGTCTGGACTTTAATCAAATGGAAGTATATTAACTTCAGAGCACCACGTGACACTGTCCCTGCAAGCCTAATGAAGTCTTTGATGTGGTCTGTGCAGTTGCATAGGTACCCTACCTTTAATCACGGGAAGCCTGTGACAGATAGTAACTCATGAGGCTCGCTTTCATCTCAAGGTATCCTTACAGCACGATTTTCGAAGTAAATACCTAGGCATATTATTTTGTTTTTGCCTTTATACCAAATTACAAGCGGGTGAGAGGATGCTATTTCGTGGCCTTTGCTATGAGAAGATGAGTTGCTCAGAGTAAAGAAATATATCTTCTTCCTTGAAATTTATATCTTTCTCTGAATTCCTGTGGTTTGTTTAAGAGCTCAGGGCTAGAAAAACTTAAAAGTTTTGGAAAACTATACATACTGTACCTTGGAAACTGGTTTCAACTCCTTCAAGAAAGATTGTCAAATGCAAGGATGTTATGAATTCATCATGCATTAATCATTTAGCCCCACGAGGGAATTTTCTGTCTTATCCATGACTGAAAAAAATTCACAAGACCTACATTATTCCATTTATTTTATGGTTATAAATAATCAAATACAATTTGCAACTCTGTGGTTTGTAATGCATTCAGATTGACTTAGAACATGATGGAAAAGAACAAGCTTGGTTTGTAGTTGAGGTTTGCTAAGGACTGGAATTCCCCAGGTAGTTCTCTCTCATTATGTAGGGCACAGTTATGTTGTAGAGACCTCTCCAGAAGCCCAGGGGAGGGCCTCCTCTCATTAGGCATGTACCAGTGAGCGCCGTTGATGGGAGTGTGACACACCGCAGATCCGCAGGCGGGGGTGAGAAGGATCAAGATTTTTAAAATGGAAATTTTTTGAGTCATCTTGGCTAGAGATTTTTTTTTTTTTGTAATCTCCAAATCCTTCAATGCAGAAAAGAAATAGAGGGTGATAATTCAAAACTGAAGATCGTTGCTGTGAATTGGTAGTGACAACAATATGGTCAAGGTCTGTTTTTCACAGTTCGGTTCACACTTATTTCAGGGCTGGGGGAAAATGTGTTCTTGAAATAAATCTCAGCTCATTCAGAGATTGTGAGCATGAGATCTTAATGAAGATTCTTTTCTTCTGAAATGATGAGTTTCCTTCAGGGTCCAGCCTCCCTGCCTGCCTGATATCTTCTAGAAGACTGGACATGGGTGCTTGTCTCGTTGGCATTTCCCAAGGCCAGTTTCTAAACGTGTCGCCCACCTGCCCCTTTTGGCTGGAGCGCGGGATTCTAATTAAGTCATTGCACATTCCAGCTGTCTCCTTTGGTGACAGAGCCATGCCCAGGGAGACGCTGAGCCTGTGACAGTTGTGTTCCTGAGGCTCCGTCGCGGACACCTGGATGACTCTGCTATTGCTGCTCAGCATCTGCGCTGAGCCTGTGGGCTGTGCTCAGGTGGTGCTTGCGTGAACAGGTGAGTTATCCAAGGAAACCACTGCCCTCATTAAGGCATTGGCAAAGTTCAAGGGCATCTCTACACTATGGAGTCTGTTAGGGCCATAGGCACAGCAGCTTGTGCTGCATATCATTGGTATAGCAGGTACAGCAAATATATACTACTCTGGTCAGATTTAAAAGGCCAAGATTAGATGAGGTGTTCTGACTCTTTAAATCATTTAAAGGGAGATGAGAGCCCTGGAATCTTGGAGCTTTTATTTGGCTACAACCCTTGAACTGGCAGGTTCCCCAGTGCCCCTTGATTAGGGTGTCCAGTCCCAGGATACATAGGGTCGGTAGAGTTCACCTCAAATCTGTGTCTATCAATACCTGCAAGATTCATCTTTACCTAGACTGGGGAGATAAGCCCCAATCACCTTCAGAAATTCCTCCTCTCTGCTTCTCCTCCTTCTCCTCTTCCATCTGTTTCCTGAGATCTGGCATCATTAGCATTTAACAACCTGAATACCTGATGAATCACCAGCTTGTGGGGACAAGTCACGTAAAAATTGATATTTAAGTGTTCTTGCTCATGCCCTTGTAATGCCGATCTCTGTCCCTCCTCCCCCTCTCCCATTTATCCCCTGAAACCTGGGGCATTCACCTATCCAAACAGTTCCTTCTCCACACCCGCCCTGTTCATCCCTTTGTTTGTAGCCTGTGATCACCAGCCCACTGGAAGAAGCCTTCATGCTTAAAAGGTTCCCATGCTGGAGGTTCTGATCTTTGAGGGTGCCCACACTTCTGATCCAGGAGGTACCAGGAGTAATGGGTTCTAAGCCCAAGTTTAGCTTACTCCTTTAACCATTCCTGCATATGGCTCAAAGCCAGCCATGGAGTTTATCCTGGGCCAGATACCATCCTACCATGTTCTCAGTTCTGTACAAATCAAATAAGAAACAACAATAACCAAAAAAGCCCTCCCTTTCCCTCTCTCTCTCTCTCTCTCTCTCTCTATATATATATATATATATATATATATATATATAAGATATTGTATGTGATAAAATATATATATATATATATATATATATATGATGGAATACTACTCAGCCATAAAAAGGAATGAATTAATGGCATTGCAGCAACCTGAATGGAACTGGGGACTATTATTCTAAGTGAAGTTAATCAGGAATGGAAAACCAAACATCGTATGTTCTCACTCATAAGTGGGAGCTGAGCTGTGAGGATGCAAAGGCATAAGAATGACACAGTGAACTTTGGGGACTCAGGCAGAAAAGTGGGGAAGGGGTGAGGGATAAAAAAGCTACACTTTGGGTTCCGTGTATACTGCTTGGTTGAGGTGTGCACCAAAATCTCACAAATCACTACTAAAGAACTTACTCATGTAACCAAATACCACCTGTTCCCCTAAAATCTATGGAAATAAAAAAGTCTTTTAAAAAGCACAGCACCCTCCTGCATGTTAATTTATGTAAATGGATACCTGAAGTGACAGCCAGTTCTCCAGTTCTGGAAACAGTCAAAATAGGATCCCAGCCCAGCATGGTGGCTCATGCCTGTAATCCCAGCACTTTGGGAGGCTGAGACAGGAGGATTGCTTGAGCACTGGAGTTCAGGATTACCTTGAGAATCTCTGTGAAGAATAAGAAAAGTTAGCCAGGCTTGGTGGCACACAGTAGTTCCAGCTACATGGGAGGCTGACAGAGAGGATTTCTTGAGCCCAGGAATTTGAGGCTGCAGTGAGCTATGATGGCGCCATTGCACTCCAGTCTGGGACGAGATTGAGACCCTGTCTCTAAGAAAAATAAAAATATAAAATAAAATAAAATCTCAGCCTGGCGCTTGGCTAGGACACTTCGTTACAGACAACAGTAGACCCTATAAGGCAGAGACCATCCAATCATGCAAAGAAGAGGCAGCCGAATGGCTCCTCTGTCTGGGTGTTTGTCATGTAGAGTCTAAGTTGTGTCCCCCTAAACTTCATCTGCTGAAGCCCTAACACCCAATGTGACTGTATTTAGAGACAGAGCCTTCAAAAAGGTAATTAAAGTTAAATGAGGTTACCTGGGTGGGACCTCTAATTGCATGAGACTAGTGTTCTTACAGGAAGAGGCAGAGGCTGGGCCTGGTAGCTCACATTTGTAATTCCAGCACTTGGGGAGGCTGAGATGGGAGAATCACCTGAGCTCAGGAGTTCGAGACCAGCCTGGGCAACTTAGTGAGACCTCATTTCTATGAAAAATAAAAAATAATTAGCCACGCATGGTGGCATGCAACTGTAGTCCCAGCTACTCAGGAGGCTGAGGCAGGAGTACTGCTTGAGCCCAGGAGGTCGAGGCTGCAGTGAGCTGTGACTGAGCCCGCACTGCACTTCAGCCTGGGTGAGAGAGTGAGACCTTGTCTCAAAAAAAAAAAAAAAAAAGAGGCAGAGACACCGGGAATGCATAAGCACAGAGGAAAGGCCATGTGAGGACACAGTGAGAAGGTGGCTGTTTGCCCGCCAGGAAGAGAGGCCTCACCAGAAACCAGTCTTGATAGTACCCTGACTTTGGACTTCGAGCCTCAGAACTGTGAGAAAATAAATTCCTCTTCTTTCAGCCACCCAGTCTGTGAGATCTGTGGTATCTCGTGTGGCAGCCGGAGCTGACGAATTCAGTGTTCCAATCCTTAGTTTGCAAAGCTGGGCTCCTGTGCATCCATGTGGGTTTTCTTACAGCAGCACTGTAGTAACAGGTGTAGAGGAAGAGTCACTCCTCGCCCTTGTGCAGGGATCTGTCCCTTCCAAATGGCTTTCATGCGTGTTATTTCATTTGATTCTCACAATACCTTTATGGCCCTTTGCAGGAGTTGGGGAATTTTATTGCCATTTTACAGCTGATGAAACTGAGGTATAAAAAGGCTATGCAATTTATGTAATTGGTCTGAAATCACCTTGAGAGTCTGTGCACCAGGCCTATTGAAGCCTAATCCAGGATTCTTTTCACTATGCAAGGGTATCTATAAGTGGATTAGGATAAAGGACTTATGTGCCACTGGAGAAAGCATCCATTCCTTTTGTGTTTTTCAGCATCCGTGTGATGGCCAATGTGTCCCAATTCCCATTCACAGAATAGCTGCAGAGCCTCTATGAAAGAGCTCAGTGGAATCATTTTATGATATGTAGGACAAGATGATCACAGCAGGAAATGGACAAGAGTGTGGCCCAAAAAAATAGGCCTGTGGCAACCCAGCGGAGAGCCAGCCCAATGACAGGGGCGGCTGAGCCTCTGTTGTCAGCCACTGCGCGGCCTCCGCCCCATCCTGCTGTCTGAGTCAGATTGCCCTTGAAGCTGTCTACACCGCAGGTCCCTATTATCATTTAGCTTTTCATTCTGTGATTCTCCATAGGAGGGAGTTGGGGGTAACATCCTTTCAGGCTTGATGTTCTATTAAGAAGTGGGTGTTCTTTTTACCCTTATTCACAAACTCCCAGTGGCGACCGCCTTGAGTGGGCTGTTTCTCTTCTTAGTCCAGCTAAATCTGTGGGACAGCTCAGAGGGATTTTCCTCCCTGAGTCCCCGACAGCAGTGGGGCACCTCTGTGGGCGCCCCGTTTCCAAAACAACTTTTACATGGATGATGGCCAGAGGTGCAAAGACTCGTATTCCAAATTCACTTCGACCTCTCCTCCATCTTGGGAAGAAAACCGCCAAGGTGAGCTTTCTTCTGTTCATAATCATGCTGTTTCACGCTTGTTTTCATTCTGTCTAATACAATAAGTAAAACCAGAGACCTGGGAGCCCAGCTGCCTGGGTTGCTCATGTGACCTTGAGCTAATTACTTAATCTCTCTAATCCTCAATTTTCCTCACCATTCAAATAATGATAAAAGCACCCCTCTTCTTAGGATTGAAGTAATGATCACGTGGGTTAATATGTAAAGTGCTTAGAATAGCACCTAGTACATGGTAAGTGGTATGGAATGTAAGCTGTTATTACTAGTATTATGTCAGGATTGCTTATCCAGTAGTTACCTGTCAGTTCAATGTTGCTTGATACACATAAAACGTTTTCAGGCTGGAGTGCAGTGGCATGATCTCAGCTCACTGCAACCTCCGCCTCCTGGGTTCAAGTGATTCTCTTGCCTTAGCTTCCCGAGTAGCTGTAGCTGGGACTACAGGCGTGCCTCACCATGCCCAGCTAATTTTTGTATTTTTAGTAGAGACAGGGTTTCACCATGTTGGCCAGGCTGGTCTTGAACTCCTGACCTCAGGAGATCCACCTGCCTTGGCCTCCCAAACTGCTGGGATTATAGGCATTTTTATACAGTTAATTTTCCTAGCTGCATTCGTTAATAATATGCACTGGAACTATTTTCTTTTATTTCAGTTTTTAAATGGACAAAAATTGTATATATTTATGGTGTATGACATGATGCTTTGATACAATGTATGCACACATTGTGGAATGACTAAATCAAGGTAATGCATTTAGCATATGCATTACTTCACATACTTGTGTTTTCATTGTAGCAGGACCACTTAAAATGTGCTCTCTCTGCAATTTCCGAGTATACGATATACTATTAACTATAGTCTCCGTGAAGTACAATAGATCTCTTGGCTTAGCTCCGCTAACAGAAATTTTTTTTTTTTTTTTGACCAACATCTCTCTACCTCCCACCCCCTAGCCTCTGGTAACCACCATTTTACCCTCTGCTTCTATGGGGCTTGACTATTTTGCATTTCACATATAAGTAAAATCACAACACTGTTGTCTTTCTTTGCCTGGCTTATTTCACTTAACACAATGTTCTCAAGATTCACGCGTATTATTGTAAACAACAGAATTTTCTTCCTTTTAAAGGCTGAATAGAATAGTATTCCATTGTGTGTGTATCTATCTATCTATCTATCTATCATCTATCTATCTATCTAATGTATCTTTCATCTATCTGTCTCACATTTTCTTTATTCATTTATCTGTTGATGGACACTTAGGTTGATTTTTAATCAACAATTAAAAATTAATAAACAATTAAAAATAGTTCTATTTTTAATTGTTTTAGTAACCTCTATGCTGTTTTTCCACAATGTCTACAATAGTTTACCTTTCCACCAACAGCATACAAATGTTCTGTCTTCTGCACATCCTGACCAACACTTATCTTTTGTCTTTTGGTAATAGCCATTCTAACAAGTGTGAGTGATATCTCGTTGTGGTTTTATTTGACATTGCCCTGATGATTAGTGATGTTGAACATTTTTTCAGATACCTATTGGCCATCTGCATGTCTTCTTTTGAGAAATGTCTATTTAGGTTCCTTGCCCATTTTTCAGTTGGGTTGTTTTCTTGCTATTCAGTTCCTTATATATTTAATATTTTGGATGTTAACCCGTTATCAGATGTATGATTTGCAAATACATTCTTCCATTCTGTAGGTTGTCTCTTTACCCTGTTGATTGTTTTCTTTCCCGTGTAGAAGCTTTTAGTTTCTTGTAACCTATTTGTCTATTTTTGCTGTTGTTGCCATCATTTTTCAGATCAATGTCATAGAACCTAGAGGTTTTCATCAAGGAGTCTGCCAGTTTCAGGTCTTACGTTTAAGTGTTTAATCTATTGTGAGTTGATTTTTATCTTCGGTGTGAGATGAGGGTGAAATTTCACTCTTCTGTATGTGGCTATTCAGCTTGTAAAGAGACTGTCCTTTTCCCATTGAGTGTTCTTGGAATCTTTGTCAAAAAATCAATTGACCATAAATGCATTGGGATTATGATCATTATTATTTTTCCAAGGCATATTCATTTGGGGGAGATTGGGATTATTTTTAATCTTGCTCTTTTGCTCTTGGTTCCTCCAGTTTTAATTTTGTTGTCTTCTTTCTTAGCAACTCCACATATTTAAACAATTTTAAAAAGTTAAAAAATACTACCTTTATATTCTTTCCTTCTAAATTATTTTCAAAATATAAAGTTGGCAAGATTCACTCCATGACAATCTAGTTACCTGTCATCCTCTTCTGAACACCTGTTGTACTTCATATCTACCACGAAAGCATCATCACCCAGCTGTACTGATGTTCGTAGGGCCAAGGCCTCTATTTGATAGCTTTTCCAAGTCCTGCGCAATGCTTTGCATGCAGTAAAAATTCAGAAATTACATAGGGATTGATCTGTTCGCATCCTCTTTATCTTATTCCCACGTCTAAAGTGTTTACCTCCCACAATTGCCAAATCAATTGTACTCCCACTTAATGTACTTAAATATACACCTGGTGATACTAAAACCCACCCACAGAAAGATGTGTACATCCTATTGCTTTGCTTCTCCAGGCTGATTGCCCTATGCGTTCCTCTCTCTTACAATATCCACCCACATTCCCATGCCTCTATGAGAAGGTAAGCTTCTTGGGAGCAGAACCTTGTGGGGCTTTTGTGCTGACACATTCTTAGTACTCAGAATAGTGAGTGGTAGACATTATTGATTGCCTATCGGCCATTGCTCGTGCTTCTTTGCCAGCATAACTCGGACTTTGTCTGGCATCTTTTAACCAGGTACTTCTCATGGCTGGGTCCCCCACTGTGCCCAGCATGTGTATTGGAATCCATCTAAATTAACCCTGGGTTTTTCTATTCTTGTTGCTAATGATTAGTTTAGGGATGGGAATATTCTGTGCTTTTGCAACACTTACTTGTCTTTGCCCCTACAAAAGAGCAATGTGATATCTGGGTCTGTCGCAGCCACCTTGGCATCATGAGGAGAGCCAGCTCAAAAGCACAAGTTAACACCACAACGATGGTGGATAGGAGGGTGTGAAACTCTGGGGCCTCGACAGCATCATTGAGTTATTGCTGATGAACCAATTTAGGCAAAACTCCATCTGCAGACTTCTTACATGAGGTAATAAATTCCATAATTGTTTAAGCCACTTTCAATTGGGTCTACACTTTCTGCCATGGAAAGCATCTGGACCCAGGAGACATGCCATAAGTATTTGTGAACTTACTGACTGATGAAACCTGTCTTAATTTATGTCACATCCATGAATGAAAGCTCTAAATGTTGAACAGGAGAGGCAGAAAATTTTGATGGGAAAAAATCCCACTGCTCATGATTTAAGCAGCAGGAAAACAATGATTTTTATGTTGTTTCAGGTCTTGTCTTAGGTGTGGGATTGATGAGTAAGGAGATTCTAAACCTTTGGAGAATAGTGTTAAAAAATTTTTTTTCATACATGTTTGTTGTCACTTTTTTGAATTTCAGTGCTCAAAATATCGCCCTTGTGAAGGTGGCCCTGGGAGCTTTTGCCCTGGCTGGCACTGTTGCAGGGTGTGGAGCCGGGTGCCTGAGCCGCTAAAGTGCCCATCTCTGGGGGAGGGCTGCAGAGGCCCCCGGTCACCACCAGGGCTGCCACCAGTGGAACTATGTGTCGGGTGCCACAGATGCAGACCTGATTCCATGGTTTTCTTAACGGCCATTTTAGCCCAGATAAGCTCACTCTCTTTCCACATTGCCAGGTGTTCCTTACCTGCCCGCCTCACCTGTCCGTTCTGAGGACCCCAGCACCGTCCCATGAAGAACGAAAGCAGGCATCAGGCCACTCCTTCATGCCCGCCTGTTGTGGTCCAGGCGTCGGAAGGACTCTTGGTGATCTGTCCACTTCAAGCTTTGCTGTCTCACTTGGAATGTTGCGGTAACAACATATGCATTCTACCCACTGGTTTTGCCTATTCCCATTCAGATACTACAATGGAACCAGGGATGTACTTTCCTGAAGGCAGACCTGATGGTGCTGCTTCTCTGCTCACCATCATTTAACGACCTTATTATCTACGGATATCTGCAGGCGTCTAGGTCCACCGTGGAAGGCCTGGCTCCATCTGGGCCCTGCCTCCTCTGCCGTCTCACCTTTCCCCTCATCTTCCATAGATATAAAAATCTACCCACGTCCAACTACCTTAGCATCTGGAGTGTGACCCATGCTAATACCTCCTTGGTGCCTTTATTGCTGCCACTGCCCTAACTCTGGATTGCATTCTCTACCTTGTTCTCCCTGCACCTCCTTTTTTGAGTCACGTCTTTTTTTTTTTTTCCAAAATAAGGCCTGGCTCTGTCACCCAGGCTGGAGTGCAGTGGCGTGATCTCAGCTCACTGCAACCTCTGCCTCCCAGGCTCAAGCAATCCTCCCAACTCAGCCTCCTGAGTAGCTGGGACTACAGGTGTTCACCACCACATCCGGCTAGTTTTTGTATTTTTTGTAGAGATGGGGTATTTGCCATGTTGTCCAGGCTGGTCTTGAAGTCCCGGGCTCAAGCAGTCTGCCTGCTTCGGCTTCCTAAAGTGCTGGGATTACAGGCCTGAGCTACTACGCCCGGCCTGACTCACATCTTTTGTGTTTTCTGAGAGGCCTTCCCAGATTCCCTCATGCAAAACCAGAGTCTACCTTTTCTCTGCTCCTCCTTTCACTCACCTGACTGCACCAATCCCCTTGTCTTAGGATTGCTTCTTTGTCTCTCTCTCCAGCGACATGCTGAGCACGTTGTGGACAGAACTTGGTCGGGGTCTTCTTTTTCTGTCCTGTGTCCTGTACTGGGCTTTGCACACGCTGAGTGCCTGCCAGATGCTTTGTGGTTTTAATGGAAGTAAATCCAGTGGAAAAAGTAAGCATAAAACCTGCAGCATTTCTGATGCAAGCAGTTTGTTGTAGGCATTCTCTCTTTGGGTTTGATCCTAGGAACCCGGAAAAAATATCAAATATTAACTCCTTTGCAGGGTAGTGTCTGGAAGCGGATCTTGAGCAGAGGAAGGGAGTTTGGGAGGCTGAGGCAGCGCTGCTGCATGAGCGCTACTAACTGACCTACAAGTAGTCAATCCTTTGTTTTCTCTCATATATTTTCCTGCCACTCAGACCATCAAAACATTTTTACTATCTAATAATAATAATACATTAGGCTGAGTGTGGTGGCTCATGCCTGTAATCACAGCACTTTGGGAGCCTAAGGTGGGAGGATCACCTGAGGCCAGGAGTTCAAGACCAGCCTGGGCAACATAGTGAGACCTCATCTCTACAAAACATCAAAAAATTAGCTGTGTGTAACGACACGTGCTTATAGTCCCAGCTACTCAGGAGGCTGAGCTGGGAGGACTGCTTGAACCCCTCAGTGGGATGGTGGTTGAGGCTGCAGTGAGCCATGATGGCACCACGGCACTCCAGCCTGGGTGACAGAGCAAGATCCAGTCTCAAAAAAAAAAAAAAAATAGTTACATACTAAAGCTTAAATAGGTTAATTAGTTTCATTTCCTCCCCCTTTTACTTCAGAATTTAGAGCTCTGCAGGGCAATGCAGCTGCACCAGCTCCTAAAAAGTCTAAGTCCTTGACTGACTGTGAGACTGGACCATTTGTTATTCTTTTGCCCAGGGTTTCTTCCATTTCCATTTGGGAAACTGTCATCTGTTTCTGATATCTCTCCCCAGCTTCCTTTGTGAGCTGAAGGGCAAAGTTTTAACTCAATAATTTTAGCAATATCCACCTCCCCTGTTGATAAATAAATCTTCCTGTTTTCTTTCTGGAACTCCCCATCTCCTTTGCTCACCTATCATTCAATACATGCTTCTGTTCTTTCAGGGACTTTCTTGGAATGTTATTTGGATTTATCTTGGACAGAAAGCTGCACCTGGATTCCAGAAAGGTGGTCTCCCAAGGATCCTATAGATCAAATTCTTTCACGGTATTTTTTCCAATGGGTAAACAGAAGAATCTCCCTCACTCCTGAATTGCCATTGTAAGAGGAAAACTGGCCATCCCTTTGCGAGGGAGGAAAAACACTGTGAGTGACATCTTTGAGTGAGATTCATTAGTTTGCACCCCTCTATTCATAACAGCCAACTCTGTTTACTTCTTGGAATTTTTTTTGTAAGCTGGATGAGTCAAGGTGCCTTAGTTTTGTTTTCCTGATCTCTAGATTTTAGAAAAGCGTACATTCCCTTTTGCTTGGCTGCCATGCCTGCACTCAGAAAGTATAATTAGCAAGATGGTATTTTACATTAAAACATTTGTGTCTTGTGAGAGAATGGTACAGCTAATGGAAGGATAGAAAAATAACAAGTTTGACCCAGCAGTCCCATTACTGGGTATATATCCAAAGGATTACAAATCGTTCTACTGTAAGGACACGTGCACACGAATGTTCATTGCAGCACTGTTTACAATAGCAAAGACCTGGAACCAACCCAAATGCCCATTGATGATAGACTGGACAGGGAAAATGTGGCACATATACACCATGGAATACTATGCAGCCATCAAAAACGATGAGTTCATGTCCTTTGTAGGGACATGGATGAACCTGGAAACCAGCATTCTCAGCAAACTGACACAAGAACAGAAAATCAAACACCACATGTTCTCACTCATAGGTGGGTGTTGAACAATGAGAACACATGGACACAGGGAGGGGAGCATCACACACTGGGGTCTGTCGGGGGGGAAATAGGGCAGGGACAGCAGGGGGTGGGGAGTTGGGGAGAGAGAGCATGGGAGAAATGCCAGATATAGGTGATGGGGAGGAAGGCAGCAAATCACACTGCCATGTGTGTACCTATGCAACAATCTTGCATGTTCTTCACATGTACCCCCAAACTTAAAATGCAATTTAAAAAAAAAAAGAAAAGTTAATAGGTGGGCCGGGCACAGTGGCTCACGTCTGTAATCCCAGCAGTTTGGGAGGTTGAAGCAGGCAGATCACTTGAGGTTAGGAGTTCAGGAACTGCCTGGCCAACATGGTGAAACCCCATCTCTACTCAAAATACAAAAATTAGCCAGGCGTGGTGGCGCGTGCCCGTAGTCCCAGCTACTCTGCAGGCTGAGGTGGGAGAATTGCTTTAACCTAGGAGGTGGAGGTTGCAGTGAACCAAGACTGTGCCACTGCACTCCAGCCTGGGTGACAGAGTGAGACCCTGTCTCAAAAAAGGAGAAAAAGTAACAGGTGATGAATGTCTTTGCTTTTGGTGCCTGGGCTGGTAGCTGACCCCTGAGAGGACTATGCCCATATCTAGCTTGGTTAGATCCACTTTAAAAGGCATATGGAATGCCCAGGAACCCTGTGTCCTTCGGAAATGTTGGCCTCTTTAGGAAAGCTACAGCCATACATTTCAGTTTCTTTAACGCTTTTTAAGAGTTTTGACCAGTTTCCTTTGGTGAAATGGTTTCCAGATCGCAGGAAGAAAAAAAGGAAAAGAAAAAGAAATGGAAATGACGAATGGTTGTCATGTGCTTCAGCTCCCAAGCATGAAATTGGGGCTCAGGCCAGAGGAGTGAGTTTTCTTTGGGTCCAAGCCAGCAACATGAAACTCCAAGAACCTGGTCTTTGGATATGTCATTATCTTCCAAGCCAAAGGAAATGGTTGACGTGATACTGACTAAGTGAGATGAATTTTGGTCTATAATTTATGTGAACACCAACTAAGAGTTAAAATGTCAATTAATACCAGTATCAAATTATCCAGTCACGTGGACGGTGAGAACAGAAACACAGTGCACTGAAGATCCCGAGCTGTCGTAAGGAATTTGGGCTACACACTCTGGCAACGATCACTAATTTTGCTGTGTTTTGATTTAGTGTTTGTGTGAATATATTCTAGTACGTCTGAGAATATGTAAGTAACACCTGGTGTGCTCTGTGCAAATGATTCTCCACTTCAGGAGGAAAGCCAAAGGGGACACGCAGCAGAACCCGAAGCATCATTATAAACAGGCTCCAGGGAACAAGCTCCTCAGATTGCTGAGAATAAAACGATGTCAGAAAAAATATACAAATGTATGAGCCTTTCTTAAATGCAAAACATGCCTTTAAGAAAAGACTATGCTTAGAAGTTTATTTTGGGGCAGTTTGTAAACTGAAGCAGGTTTTCGGAATTGTTTGTTTGTTTTTAGAGACAGTCTTGCTCTGTCACCCTGGTGCAGTAGTGTCATCTTGGCTCATTGCAACCTCTGCCTCCTGGGTTCAAGCAATTCTCCTGTCCCAGCTTCCTAGCTGGGACTACAGACGAGCAGCACCATGCCATGCTAATTTCTGTGTTTTTAGTAGAGACAAGGTTTCACTGTGATGGCCAGGCTGGTGTCGAACTCCTGGCTTCAAGTGATCCGCCAGCCTTGGCCTCCCAAAGTTCTGGGATTACAGGCGTGAGCCACTGCTGCAAGCTCCAAACCAGGTTTTCATTGTGTAGCTTTGTTTGCATTCAAATGCCCTCAAAACACATTCTTGTGGACACACACACACACACACACACACACACACACAATTTGCAAGTAGAGGCACTGAGTCCAATTTTTTAAAATGCTCGTGTTTAGAGGTTTAATTTTGCTGATATCTTAAGAGTGTCAAAAGGTAGATATTCTTCCTGGAGTTACTCCTGGAAGTTAGTCTAGGCTGTGCTAGACTAGTGCCTACATGAAGGTGAAGCTGATGACCTCATGGCCCTTGAAGCAATTGGTTTTGCTCCCAGTGCCTCTGGGATCAGCATTCCCTTCCTTTTGAGTAACTGAGGTCTGGCAACTCACAAGTTTCGCTTATTACACGAAGAGTCTCCAAGAAGAACAGGCAAGGCAGGAAGAAGCCCTCTCCTCAAAAGACCGAAAAGCTCAACGTGTTTATGGTGAGAAAAGTTGCAAGATTATTTTAAAGTTATAGTGTTTCCCAGATCTGCATCAAATGTAATAACTAAAGATAAAACAAATTGACCTTTTGGATATTCCTGTACAAAAATATCCTACATTTATGTCATCATTTTATCCTTCCCTCCCTCCCTTCCTTCCTTCCTTCCTTTCCCCCTCCCTCCTTCCTTCCTTTCTTCCCTCCCTCCCTCCCTTTCTTCCTTCCTTTCTGAACAGCTGAGTTTCATTTGCCTGGCTAGCCCGCCTGCCACCTCTGTGAGAAGTCATCACCAATGAGAAGACAACGAATCACACTGTCATTTTCATTACTGTGCTCATCTTACAAACCTACAGGCAATGCTGGTGGATGTTTCTAAGATGTAACATGAGTAAGAGGGAATTCAACATTTCCCCCCTAATGTGTCCAGAGGGTCACAATGGCTCCCTGTTTGCCACATTTCCAGGGTTGGGAGGTCCCGCTAGGG